GGCGCGGGAGCGACACCGAGGGTTGCGATCCCGTTGCCGGTCCCCGGTCCGGTACGGGGTCAACACTGAGGGTTGCGATCCCGTTGCCGGTCCCCGGTCGGGTACGGGGGCAACACTGAGGGTTGCGATCCGTTGCCAGACACAAAAAAAAAAAAAAAAAAAAAAAAGGCTTCCGTGAGATGGGGACTATGTTGTTGTCAGTGAAGCCAGAATAAGGGGGGAAAATTCATCTCTAAGCAGGAGCTCGCTGGCATGGACGACCCAATGCACTTTGAGCCAGGCCACCATGTTGCCGATGCTTCCATCTTCCCATTCAAGTAATGGGAGCTGCAGTGGGGGTGAAGGCTGGGGACACCTGCTCAAGTCTGAGCTCCTACTTTAACTTGCTCTGTGGCCTTAGGGAAATCACTTCCCTTCTCTGGGCTTCAGTTTCATCCCAGGGAAAGTACAGGGCTGGAGTAGGTAACTATTAAGAGCCCTTAGAAACAGTACAGAATAGTGATCAAGAGCTTGGGCTCTCACATCCAACCCAATGGGGTTCATATCCCAGGTCTGCCACTTATTTGCTGTGTGATCTTGAGAAAATTACTTAACCTCTCTGAACCTTGGTTTCCTCATCTGTAAAATGGGGCAGTACTGGAGTTATTGTGAGGGCTATAGAGCACAATGCTTGGAAAGCATTTGGCACAGAGCCTGGCCCACAGTAGATACTTGAGAAATGGTAGTTATAGCTCAGTGGTAGGTGTCTTGGATCTTACACAGCCCAGCTCTCCCCAGAAAGAAACATGGAACATGGGGTTATGGCCATGTCTTAGGAAGGGCCTCGGCGAGGCAGGTGAACGTGGCTCACATCACTCTGCAGCTGGTGGGCCTTCTGTGCATGCTTCAGGCCCAGCTGCTCTGGGTCGCAGGTTGGCTGGGGCAGGGGCTGCCTGTAATGCACATCGCTGGCCAGTTGCTGGCTCCTCTTGGCCTGGAGGAAGCCAGGCTGGTCTGCACGGCAGTGGAACCGGGACCGACTCTTGGCAAAGTCCTTCTTGTACTCATTGTCACTCTGCAGTCTGCCAACGTTGAGGAAATGCTTCATCCTTGGGTCATCGTTGATGCTCAGGTATCCAATCTGCATGCCCCGATCCCGCAGGAAGGCCTCTTTGTACCGGAACTGCAAGTCAGAGGAGCAGAGGTGGTCATGGGAGCACACCTCCCCTCTGGGGCCAGCCTCACAGATAGAGCTAGCCCATGTCCTCAACAGGAAGTCAACAGAGGGCTAAGGACACAGGCATTGGATTCAGGCAGATCTAGCTGTGTGGCTTTGGGCCAGTTCCTGAGTCTCTGAGCCTCAGTCTCCCCATCTGATAAAATGGAAGAATGATTGCCATCCCATGGGAGGTAGAGGGGATTAACGAGATGGGGGCTGAGCTTCATGTCCGGCACTGGTTTCTGCCTACTGAGTAGTGGCTACAGGTGCTGTAATTACCACTCCAACAGGAAGAGAAGTTGCCCATTCTCACAGCAGCTGCTTCTCCTGCGATCCCTTCCAGCTTCCAGGGACCTAGTCCAGTGCTCCTCAAACCATCTCTAGTGAAGGACCAGTTTCATTTGTTTTGTTTTTTCATTTCCAGTGCATCAAAGACCAATATTTGGCCCACTGCATGTGATTAGTAGGTAGTAGTACCATATGCATTTGATAACTACCCAATTGGCCTTACCCTGTTCCATGAGTCCACCAATCACATGCTTAAATGTTGCAATGTCTAATTGTTATAAAACATTTCTAAAAATGCTTGCTCTTGATTTTGATACCTAACTCATTGTGGACCAGCAAGAAACCGTTCACAGGTGAGCCCATGTCTAGTACTGAGGAGCATTTGTCTAGTTAACAGCACCCTCCTCTTCTATAATAACAGCCGTAATGTTTTGGACACTGCTATGTGCCAGAAACTGCATACCATTTTGCCTTCATTTCTACATCGATCCTAGGAGACAGGATCCCTATTTCATAGATGTAGACATTTGAGTTCAGAAAATTTAAATAATGTGCCCAAGACATGCAGTCAGTTCCTAAGTGATGGAGCCAGGATTTGAGCTCAAGTCAACCTAGGGCAAAAACCCAATCTCTCTACCCTAGCACAGTGCACTTCAGCCCAAAGAAGTCTGTTTACTGCAAATCAATAAACCAATCATATATTGATTGTACTCGTACATCAACTT